AAGTTCGCTGCCCGAGTTTGCATAGATTTGCATAATCGTTTCTCATAAACTCATATGATGATTCGGAGTTTACCCTCTCCGTCACCCTTCCAGAAACCGGTAAAAGATTGGTAGCCATCAGACAGTCATACTTTATATAGTTGGAGTTTAACCTCCTTCGAGTCTCAAACAATGAAGAACCCGTGAAATCCCTGAATCGCTTTTTGCAGTTTCACCTCCGATAGTTTTGAATTTATTGAATTTGTTTGAATTTCTATTACATTTGAAAATTATGTTTGAAAATTATGTTCAATTTCCAAACTCCACCTGTAATATGTAAAAACCATAACGGCGTTTGAATCTGAGCTCTACAGTGAGTCGATACCATTCTCCAGCTTTGTAGGACTGTAAAAAAAACCATAATTCATCTTTAGTATATTTCTTTCTTTTTGTTTCTAAACTCATGGCAAGCGGCCGAATAAAAATTACCGAAGAATGATTGAATTTGAATCAAATAGTCAATGCCAGTTGCAAGTCTCACATGTATGTACGCATCAGTGGGATCGCCAGGCTGATGTCGGGCTCCCCTCCTTTCGTGCAAAATTGGCCTGTCTCCCACGTCCTTCCCTAATTCGGACCTAGTTCTGTAGGAGAGCAAAAGGTATTAATTTTCGACCAAACACACTCACTCTGGTCAGCTTTCGTGAGCACCTCTCTCGTCGTTAGCGAAGTCTTGTTCAATTCATTATGTGTGTTCAAATCACTCGATTCATTCCACACCTTCTTCAATACGAGCGCCCAAGTTTACACAAATTCCACTCATTACCCCCCACCCCACCCTTCTTGCACGCTGATCCTGATCCAGTTTAACTTGCTACCACTTACACTCAGTGGCCTAACCCTGCAGCTCGTATCCACTAATTTGAACGCCCCAGACCCAAGTTTAAAATTTCCACGCTAGTACCACCCCTTTGGGGCGGAGTCTGGTCTTGTCACCTATCATAAGTATTCTCATCCTACCTACCACCTGTCGTTCTAATTGCACGGAAACAGCAGTTATAAATTTCTGGCCAAACACACACACACTAACACACATACACATAAACACAGACAAATCAACAGACACTTATAGCGCATTATGTAGTAGGATAAGTATGTAAGTCTCCAAACCCGTATCAAAAAGATGTCAGGTTTCATACAGTGTCGAATTCGGTCAGAAGTGAGTCCTTAACTATTCAAGTTATATGTAGGTAAAAATATGGTCAACCACTGTAGTTCTGATCAATATTAATGTGTGTTGCGCAGCTTTCTGAAGAGTTCCTCAAATTTACTGTGTATTCTTCTGGAAGAAGTCTGACGAAACGAAGTCAAAAGGCAGCGCTGACCTCAGTGTGTTTGAATGTGCGTATGCCGGCTAGATCAAAATCCGGCAAACTGATGTCATCGAGTACTGTAATTGGTATGGGCATCCATTCGATCTTCACTGTTGCTGTATTGTAGGAATAGCTCTCGAATACCTTAACAATATATTGGCTCCAGATGTTACATCCCTTCGGAGTTGTCTTTGGAACAGATAGATATGGTCTTAGCTTACCAGTGAGCAAACTTGTTCGTCGATAGGAAATCGCTCAAGATTCATCGAACACGGGGACTCGACTTTAACCTGAAACATCTATTTCGAACACCTTGAAGAGTGCCAGTTACGGTAATGGCGTTTTTTGCTGAAACACATACATATGCAAGTTTAAGTTTTCTGAGATTTTCTTGTGGTAAGGTGCGTAAAAGCTTAGAAACATTCCCCTTCCTTGAGGATAGAGCTCTAATATCAGAACGCTATGTTTAGTTTCGTGTATCAAAGGTTTTTTTAGGATTCAGTGTTTGTAATATAGTCGTAGGGATAGTTGTTTGGTGCGTTACCGTTTAACTTGTTGACGGCATTAGAACTACCGTAATCTTCATGTTTTGCTTTCAAATCTGAAGCTGCAGTAATGGCCATGTAACTTGCCCTATAATTGAGCCAAATTGTTCCGTTTGGCATCAACATCAACAAGACATTTGGTTTTGGCGACTTGTGTACAGTTGTCGATTTAGTATTCACTATGCAGACGTTGGGTGACCACAACATCTAAAAAAAAGTTTTTGATACGAATAGCAAATACAACATATTAAGTTTAGTTCGAGCAGTATTTCTAAAAGACAAAAGCGTTTCGGAAGGCGAAGGTGAAGAATTGGTTGGAGTACGATGCGAAATTTATGTTTGAGTCTTTTCACATCCGTCTTGAGTTCAACTTAAACTGTCAGTTTTTCTTTTCCCTTGGAAAATAGCAAAAGTGCCAAGTTACTGAGGTGGAAGTGGTGAGAGGGCAGGAGCTGTCTAGGATTTTTCACCAGGTAGACTTCCATGCGAATTTGCTCCACGCGAATCTCGCATCCCAAGGCTGGATGTGAACGCTTCGGAGTTTACCCCTCTCAAATTTCATGTCGTCTTCTAATGTATAGTAAGCAAATTGATCTGAAAAAAGCTAACTAATCCGATTTGCTCAGAAGTTTATTTTTTGTATAAGAAAGCATTCAACTATTTCAACTTTTCTGAAAGGATTTGAAATAGGCGGCGCATCTCGGATGTTGGTGTGATCCATGCATCTCCTTTTTGATCTGGTTTTTCAATTCCAACAGCATTGATACGTTCTTATAATTGTCCTTGATTTTATTATAAAACTTATTGCAAATGGTAAGGTTTACCTTCTCGAATTTGTCATCGAAGGACATGTTCGCTCGACAGCTGTCCAGATGGGAGAACGCAAGACGTTGATCATGCCATATAGAGCTGAAATAATGTGCTTCAATTTAGG